GCCATTTTAATATGGTGATCATTTCTGTGAAATAGTTTAAAAATCTGACTTCAAATAAGGAAGTTATGGGCCGTACACGATTTTGCTGCAAGGTCATGCTGTGACCTTCAAGGCAGCGACCCAAATGTTGTGCGTGACACGTCATCTTAATATGATGATCATTTCTGTGAAATACTTTTTGAATCCAACTTCAAATAGCGAAGTTATGGGCCGGACACGATTTTGCTGCAAGGTCATGCTGTGACCTTGACCTTCAAGGAAGCGACCCAGATGTTGCGCGCGACACATCGTCTCAATATGGTGATCATTTCTGTGAAATATTTTTAAAATCCGACTTCAAATAACAAAGTTATGGACCGGACACGATTTTGCTGCAAGGTCATGCTGTGACCTTGACCTTCAAGGTAGCGACCCAAATGTTGCGCGCGACACGTCGTCTCAATATGGTGATCATTTCTGTGAAAAAGTTTTAAAATCCGACTTCAAATAACAAAGTAATGGGCTGGACACGATTTTGCTGCAAGGTCATGCTGTGACCTTGACCTTCAAGGTAGCGACCCAAATGTTGCGCGCGACACATCGTCTCAATATGGTGATCATTTCTGTGAAATATTTTTAAAATCCGACTTCAAATAATAAAGTTATGGACCGGACACGATTTTGCTGCAGGGTCATGCTGTAACCTTAAAAAAGGTCATGCTGTGACCTTGACCTTCAAGGAAGCGACCCAGATGTTGCGCGCGACACATCGTCTCAATATGGTGATCATTTCTGTGAAATATTTTTAAAATCCGACTTCAAATAACAAAGTTATGGACCGGACACGATTTTGCTGCAAGGTCATGCTGTGACCTTGACCTTCAAGGTAGCGACCCAAATGTTGCGCGCGACACGTCGTCTCAATATGGTGATCATTTCTGTGAAAAAGTTTTAAAATCCGACTTCAAATAACAAAGTAATGGGCCGGACACGATTTTGCTGCAAGGTCATGCTGTGACCTTGACCTTCAAGGTAGCGACCCAAATGTTGCGCGCGACACATCGTCTCAATATGGTGATCATTTCTGTGAAATATTTTTAAAATCCGACTTCAAATAATGAAGTTATGGACCGGACATGATTTTGCTGCAAGGTCATGCTGTGACCTTGACCTTCAAGGTAGCGACCCAAATGTTGCGCGCGACACGTCGTCTCAATATGGTGATCATTTCTGTGAAATAGTTTTAAAATCCGACTTCAAATAACAAAGTTATGGGCCGGACACGAATTCGGGACGTACGTACGTACGGACGGACTGACGGACGGACGGACAACCCGACGACTATATGCTCCCCCGAAATTTTTCGGGGAGCATAAAAAGCAAGTACATTTCATGTACTTGGTCAGAATCTGGGTAACTAATATCAGTACTCAATTCTACGTCTGAAATGGTCATCAATATCCAAATATCTGTGAATGTCAAAGATATGGTAACTTAAGCAAACTTCAATAGTGACCTTGAGGTCAAGGTCATTTCAAGGTCAACATTATAGTTGAACTATTCAAGATGTCCGTCCTGTCATAAATATATGAATGACATCTGATCATTGATAACAAAGAAATGGCAGTTTTATCACAATTTAATAATTTGACTTTAAAATATTAAAATATGTTTTTATTTTTATTATTCAAAGGCAAAAAACTCTTGACATATTCAGTCGTTTTAGCTCATAAATGAACTTGATCGAGACCTTATTGTTATACATATTCTGTATAAAAAAATTAAGAATGGAGAAGAAACGAAAGCACTAACAAGGTGAAATATAGTGCGTTTTTCTAACAAGGTGAAATATAGTGCGTTTTTTTGTGTGTGTGTTTTTTTTGTCTTGTTTTTTACTTAGCCTATAATCTAACTTTGTTGAGATTTTAAGGTTGAAAATTGTCAAGATTGAAGAAGAAATGAAAGCGTTGGATTGGTAACAATGTGAAATATGACAGATATTGTAATTCAAGGGCAGATAACTCTGGACATATTGCTTAGGGTATGTGGATGCTAGAGTGGTAACAAGCTAAATTTGGACGGACAGACAGACGGGCGCATACTCAGGTGAGCTAAAATTAACACACAATAACACCTGATAATAACTGGACAAAATTAACGAAAAATATATAGTCTTTAAAATATGGACTTATGCGGCAGGATCATGCCTTTTTGCCGCAAAATGTACGTCAGAAAAATGTTGACAATACGCGCCGCAAAACGTCCATATACTCGTACGAACGTTTTGCGGTACGGACGTTTTGCGGTGTTATAATGCCTCGCGATAATTTCTATTTAAGCACACTTACATCTATTTTATGTTACAGGGGTGAAACAAAAGTTACCAAAATACTAGTATGTTGTTTTTATACATTTTTTGTGTGAATTAGTTATGATAAATAAAACATTTAAATGATGTTTTTTGTTTCTTAATTGATTAAAGAAATTTGAAAATACTTGTATTTGCTATACAGCCTCTTTTTTAAACATAAAATAAACATCTTTTTGAGTACACACATACAAGATTTGATATTTTTTTACTCCATACACTATAGATAAACACAGTATAAATACATAACTTCATTATAACTGGCGTTTTTTAGTAAGGACCATATTAACTTGACCAACAATAGGAAGTACAGCTTTCCAAACTTTTTATTCAAAAATATTCAGTTAGAATTTCGTAGATTTTACAAAAAATATCTGCAAAAAAGTGTTTTACCAAAATATGACTATGCTACGATATCATAATTTATTGATAATAATTGTCAGAAAATGGCAAAACATGACTATTACACATTAAAAAATAAAATCATGTACAATTAGCACTGCTTTGTCGGACCCATTTTTTAACTTGCCCTCTGTGATACATTCTCTTGTAATGATTTTTATGCCAAACTAATACAGCTATAATCAGCTATGACAACTGTAGCACAATTCTTCTACTTTATGTCATGAAGATATACTAAAAGGCAACAAAATGCAAAAACTGTGGGTTTTTTTACCTGTTAAGTTTTTGGTTAATTGTGATAATCTTAAAGGTTGCTATGACATGTTTCTTTTCTTCTTAAATGTAATACATATTTATATATATTACCACAAAATTCAATTAATATATGATTATTGCACTAAAATTGTAAAATAAGGGCAAGTTTTAGGAGCTTATTAATTTTGAACGCGCTTTCTTGGGGGTTATTTTACCCCACCTTCTTTTGAAGCTGTACACTTCTGTTATAAATGCGTCAGGTAATGAATTTTTATGCTTAACTTATAAAAAAATGTTCAAATGATAAAGAACATACAATTAAAACACAATTACCTATACATTTAACTGAAATTATAAAGTAAAGGCAAGTTTTGGGAACATTGTAAGTTAATATTTTTTTCGGTAATATTACCCAACCCATTTTTGAAGATCTACTCTTACGGCATAAATGCCCAGAAAATGAATTTTTTTATGCTTTGTAGGAGCACATTTGTCTCGGACACATTTGTCTTACGTAAGACCGATGCGGTCGCATTTGTCCCACATGAGACAAATGGGACCTCAAATGTCTGCCCCAAAAAACTCATTTGTGTGACAAATGTGCACCGATCAATTTTTTTAGGGGACAAGAAAGCACATTTGTCTCATGTGTTTTTAAGGGACAAGAAAGCACATTTGTCTCATGTCATTTTTATGAATTATTTGTCACATATTTCCCCACGACAGAAATTCTTTTTTAGAATTGAGGTTCGCCGTTTTACCTCATGCCAATTGTAATCAACAATAGGTTTGCTTATGATTTCTTTACGAAAACCTGAAGTGAACTATTAATAATTATATCTCTAATTCAAGAAATTGATTGGCTTAACCTGAAGGCGTACACTGAAACATACTAAATCCCGTTCAACAGTCTTAAGTGCCTCCTAGACTTAATGAACCTGCCAGTAGTTTTACTTTTACTATTTTATTGTATTTTCATCGAAATGTTACATATAGAAATAAAAAAAATATTTTATTCAGTTATTCAGATTAAGAGCAAAGTTATTTAATATTTCACCATTTTTCTTTTAGATTTCATACCTTTTAAGAAAATCTTCTTTGTTATACAACCATTGAGGAGGTATTTTATAAATGCCAAAGAGAAAATCGCCCCTTTTAGATGAGCCTAGGTATAGGTGTACTAATAAATAAAGTTTACTATTGGTTTTGCTTTTGAAACTGTTAAAATGTAATTGCCTTGGAAATATGAAAACACAAATTTACTCACAAGGCCGCAGGTGGGTGTTAATTACAATGTTGTGTACATAATTGCTTACATGGAATAAACTATGATGCAAATGACATGTCTATCCTACAATATCCACTTTGTTTTCCAGCATTTTATCCTCTTAACTTTTGTTGTCTGTGTTAAACAGTTAAGTACCACGGAAATATGAGGCACCAGTATAATTCAATAACGTTCTCCTTACTATGAAATATATTATTTTATTTTGGCCAACATATACAACTATGTCTTCTGTCCCACATGCACTGTATCAGTCGAACAAAAATAGAACGTAAAATAAATATTTAGAATAAACAGGCTCTTATTCATGTTATTTGTCACTTTATTCCGCCGTTATTTCGTATAGGACTATTTCACCTCACTTAAAAAAGTAACGAACCTTTAGACGTTCGACCTCCCCCCTCTGAGTGATGATACAGTCAGGTTAATACAGGCTACAGCTTATCAAGGTATAAAATAATTGCAACAGCTGCAGAGGTGATGCATTTAGGTATTTTGGGGAAAAAATGATAAAGATTATTTTGGAGCAGATTATACTTAACTGCAAGTTGGTGTAATTTAACGGAACGTATTATAATTATAAATGCAGCTCTAGGTATGTTACAGCAAGATTTACGAAATTATAATACCTACATGAATGATAAAAGTAGGTGAATGGGGACAGATTATTTATCACTACAACAAGAGGGGTGACACAAAAAGATGACTCACCAGTACAGCTACAGGAGTAATAATAACCCACATTGGCAAGTAGTAAGCCCAGAATATTGCTGGTTTCTTTCCAATCATCATCTCAACGTCTCGCATGAAATTTTTTATACCTGTATATTGACCAAAATAATTTCTATATACTTTTAGTAAAATAATTCTTTATTTTAATTAAACACATTTACTTTTGATCTGATACTTCATTCGTAAGCTGGGAGCTATTTCTAATAGTCAAACCTTAAACATTAACTTGTATCTGACATACCTCGCAGTTTGATATTGCATCTGGCTAAGTTTGATCATGTCATACCTGGCGCAGTTTAATCATGGTATACCTGGCACAGTTTGATCATGGCATACCTGGCTAAGTTTGACAATGGTATACCTGGTTAAGTTTGACAATGGTATACCTTGTTAAGTTTGAACTTGGCGTACCAGGTGCAGTTTGATCAAGCCATACCTGGCTAAGTCTGAACATGGCATACCTGATGCAGTTTGAATATAACATACCTGTCCAAATTTGATTACGGCATACTTTGCCAAGTTGAACATGATATACTTAGCACAGTTTGATCATGATATACCTGGCGCAGTTTCAGCATGGAATACCTGGCGCAACTTGATCATGTCATACCTGGCGCAGTTTGATAATGACATAACTGGCGCAGTTTGATCATGGCATACCTGGCCAAGTTGTACATGACATGCCTAGCGCAGTTTGATCATGATATACCTGGCGCAGTTTCAGCATGGAATACCTGGCGAAACTTGATCATGTTATACCTGGCGCAGTTTGATCATGTCATACCTGGCGCAGTTTGATCATGACATACCTGGCGCAGTTTGATTATGGCATACCTGGCCAAGTTGTATATGACATGCCTAGCGTAGTTTGATCATGATATATCTGGCGCAGTTTCAGCATGGATTACCTGGCGCAGTTTGATCATGTCATACCTGGAGCAGTTTGCTCATGGCATACCTGGCGCAGTTTGATCATGCCATACCTTGACATACCTGGTGCAGTTTTTAGTGCAGTTAAAACATGGCATATCTGTTGCACTTTGATCATGGCATGCATGACGCAGTTTGATCATGGCATACCTGACCAAGTTGAACATGGTATATCTGGCATAGTTTGATCATGGCGTATCTTGTGCATTTTGAGCATAGCATACTTGTTGCACTTTGTTCATGGAATATCTGGCACAGTTTGAACATGGTGTATCTGGCGCAGTTTGAACATACCTTGCAAAGTTAAACATGGCATACCTGGCGCAGTTTGAACATACCTTGCAAAGTTAAACATGGCATACCTGGCGTAGTTTGATAGTGGCATATCTTGCGCAGTTTGATCATGCCGTATCTGGCGTAGTTTGATCATGTCATACCTGGCGCAGTTTGATCACGGTATACCTGGCGCAGTTTGATCAGAGCGTATCTGGTGCAGTTTGATCATGGCATACCTGGCGCAGTTTGATCACGGTATACCTGTTGCAGTTTGAACATGGCATACCTTGCCGAGTTGAACATGGCATACCTGGCGCAGTTTGATCAAAGCGTATCTGGCTCAGTTTGATCATGGCATACCTGACGCAGTTTCATCACGGTATACATGGCGCAGTTTGAACATGGCATACCTGGCGCAATTTGATCATGGCATACGTGGCGCAGTGTGAGCATGGCGTATCTGGTGCAGTTTGATCATGGCATAATTGTTGCACTTTGATCATTGCATAACTGGCGCAGTATAATCATGACATACCTTGCGGACTTTGAACATGGCATACCTGGCGCAGTTTGATCATGACATACCTTACGCAGTTTGATCATGACACGCCTGACGCAGTTTGATTATGGCATACCTTGCGCAGTTTGATCATGGCATACCTGGCGCAGTTTGATCATGACATACCTGGCGCAGTTTGATCATGGCATACCTGACGCAGTTTGATCATGACATGCCTGACGCAGTTTGATTATGGCATACCTTGTGCAGTTTGATCATGGCATACCTGGCGCAGTTTGATCATGGCATATAGGCACAGTTTGACCATGGCATTCCTGTCGCTGTTTGATCATGGCTTACCTAGGCAAGTTGAACATGGCATATCTGGCGCAGTTTGATCATGGCTTACCTAGGCAAGTTGAACATGGCATATCTGGCGCAGTTTGATCATGGCTTACCTAGGTAAGTTGAACATGGCATATCTGGCGCAGTTTGATCATGGCTTACCTAGGCAAGTTGAACATGGCATATCTGGCGCAGTTTGATCATGGCTTACCTAGGCAAGTTGAACATGGCATATCTGGCGCAGTTTGATCATGCATCGCTCAAACTTAAGTTATGTGCTTCTTGTTACTCTATTGTGGTTGTCAGTCTTTAAATTGAATAAAAATAAATACAAAAACGTCTCATCCTAATTTCTATATACTATTTTCTATAGAGTTGAAGAATAAGATGAAATGTTTTCAACGTTTTATTTCGTCTTTATTTTTATATACATGTATGACTTACCATAAATCCATACGACAGCAATGAGTTCACACAGACATACGATCATCAGGTTATACGAGCCTGCATACCAGTCAAATAATGTCAGCACAAATATTCCGCCCTGGAAATATGTTAATTATTCAAAATATAAATCGTAAAAATTTGTAAATGTAAACCTAAAAACTCGCTCTGTGAAAATGGAAAAAGTAAACTACATATTTATCTTTCTAAGAGAACATTCAAGAACAAGCCAGGGCATCTGCACACTCGACTCTCCTTCATCTATCAATGAAATACGTCATCGCCTTTATCAGAATCATGTCTACCTATGTAATACATACACTTAACAAATTTTATAAGAGTGCATTTGCCTCGGAGCTCATTTGTCTTAAGTAAGACCGATGCGGTCGCATTTGTCCCACATCACACGCCCGGCAAACTGTCGCTCCACTTCAAAATTGTGGTGTACCGTCAAACGAGCGAACGGTATTTCCGAGATAGAGCGGAAGGCCGATTTAAACGACTAATTGTAAGTATTGTTTATGTTTTTGTCTTGTTATTCATTTATGTTGTACTTTTTCGAAAAACGGAAAATGCAGTTCCGTGTAGGATTGATTTAGGCTTCCAATGATCTAAGCTGTTACAAAAAGAAAATTATATAAAGCCCGGGAGAACTTTTCTCCCTGACGAAGCGGACGACGATTTGTATTTTAATGAAGAAATATATCAATAATGTCTTTACAATAGCATATGCTTGTTCATTTTTTAAATACAGATTGATCCATTTACTTTGTCACAAATTTCAGCAAAAACTTTTGTAGTGTAACTTCTGCAAACTTTCTGCCTTATTATATGTGTTAGCTTCAATGTAAATGTTTTTATTATTTTGTTGTATACTTTAAAATTGTATAAATTACTACCTGGTCGCGGTAAAAAAAAGGTTTAGTGATTCTTACAGGCTGAAAGAGTCGAATATTACCTGAGACATTAGCCGAGGCTTAAATTTATACCAAAAAGGCTATATTTTTGGGTTATTATATATTGTTGAGTACTGAAATAGATTGGACGAGTATACAGCTGCAAAACTTTTGTTTAACTGATTGTTATACAAGTCTAATATAAGTTTAGCAGCTGTATACGACTCTTGATATAATCAGTTTTGTAGCTCCAAAATGTATTCTGACATCTTTATTTCACACAATCATCTGGAATTCAGATATGCATTTGATACAGATATTTTGGAATCAACAAAAAAACGAGACTTGATTGAGCTCATAATATGCATTTGATATGGGTTTATTTGGATTTCTGAAATGAAATAAATAGGTTAAATTGATAAGACTGCCATGTAAAGGCAAACTCCGCACATACAAAAGAATTTCAATTACAAATTAAGGCATTATTTGATCAGAAAGAATAAAAGACGTCTATATATTTTATGCCAAAGCATACTAGTATGTAACCAATACAGAACAGTTATTGTTTTAGGCAAATATCTATTCGTTTCTGTATAAACTGCATAATAATATACAACATCAAAGAAATGTATTTTGCATAGTCATTATTATTATTACACAGCAAAGTTTAATTGTATTTTCTTTTCTCAAACATTTGAATGTGATATTTATTTGTATATCAGTATTAATCAAAGTCATAAACAAGTTTTAAGTTATATATATATATATATATTTACACTTTAATATTTCTTCTTACATTGAACTATTTTTTTTATACATAGCTATAGCCTTTTTGTACCTAATGAATCTTCAAAACATTTTCATTTTATTTTTCTAATTGATGTAATATTGTTGCATAATAGTTTTCTCTAATACTCTTGACATTTGTTTTGGTTAATCAAAGTCTTTGGCGGGTGATTATAACCGCTGAAAAAAGGATTATATTAGAATATTTAAATGAAGGGTTCTTGAAAATATATCGATAATTTTAGCAGTTGTAAAACATTTTTTTAAATTGATTTGTAATTTCATGATAAAATAACTTTAATGGATTACACGTGAATAGATTGTTTTCGTTATTCGGTTACCTGCATGCTATTGCTGTGAACATTTATCTTGTTATCATAAATTGGGATTAAACGTTGATCGAGTATAATCGATTACTGATCGTTTATATGACCGATCGGCGATGATCGAATACAAAGTTCAATAATCGATTATCAGTAATTTATCTTCTTGCTGTTACTTAAGTGACTCACTGTATTATAACAACGCTTTAAATTAAAGCCAACTTTGGTTGACCCAATAATTTCATTAAAATGACTGAGAAAGCATACTGGTGACCATGAGGTTAATAGTTGACAGTGAGGCATTCTAGTTTAAAGACATACTTTGCTCAAATTTGACATTAGAAAATTGCTACACAGTCTATTTGTAAATATGAAATAAACACGTTTTGACTTCAAACAAAGAAGATATGTTATATATAAAATTATTCTACACGCGAAAGCTGGTTACAGTATCAATATATGGTGTCATTAAAAAAACCTGGCAGTTTTGTTAAGAAATGACTAACTTCTCTTGTTTCCATACATAGTTTATTCATTCCTTTATTGAAATTGAGACATAATAATTTCATAGATTTAATGAATTTATTTGATTAAAATATTTTACTCAAGGGTGAACATAGCATGAGTCACTAGTTTTTCAGTTGATTAAGAGGTAGTTACACAAAATATAGAATATTAATGGAATCCTTATAAATATTAAAGCATGATATGTACATTGTACATATTAACTTAATTATTGTAAATGTTTCGATTATATAATCGATGATTGATCAAAAAAGGGTTGTTCGATTATTTTCGATGATCGATTATGATTTTTGTCCGATTAAGAAACCCTAGCTAGTCATAATTTGGTTTTCAAGACTGTTCTCTTTGATTGTTATCTAATATTGTAGCTAGTCACAATTTGGTTTTCAAGACTGTTCTCTTTGATTGTTATCTAATATTGTAGCTAGTCATAATTTGGTTTTCAAGACTGTTCTCTTTGATTGTTATCTAATATTGTAGCTAGTCATAATTTGGTTTTCAAGACTGTTCTCTTTGATTGTTATCTAATATTGTAGCTAGTCATAATTTGGTTTTCAAGACTGTTCTCTCTGATTGTTATCTAATATTGTAGCTAGTCATAATTTGTTTTTCAAGACTGTTCTCTTTGATTTTTAGCACAGCTATTCGATAAGAATAAGTAGAGCTTTCCTAATCACCCGAGCGTAACCACTTATGTTAAAGTATTTTAACACCTCAAATATTTTCAAAGTCCATTGACATATATCTTTAAAACTTTGCACACTTGTTCACCATAATGCTCCCAACCTGTAGACAGGAGGAGATAACGTTATCAAGCATTTTGATAGAATTATGCCCCTTTTATCAACTTAGAATTTACGTTAAATTTTTTATAACAACTCAAATACTTTAAAAGTCCGTTGACATGTGGCTTTGAAACTTTGCACACTTGTTCACAATCATGCCCCTAACCTGAAGACAGGAAGAGGTAACTCTATCAAGCATTTTGTAAGAATTATGTCCCTTTTTCGAAAAGTTTGCGTACCACCTCATATATTTTCTTATTTCATTGGCATCTTGCTTTGAAACAAATTGTAATTTTATACACTTCTTTGTGAGCATAATAGGACTATAACATGGGTTTGAAAAAAACATTGGCCTTTTTGTGAACTTAGAAAATTTTACATTATCAAGGCTCTTTTACTTTCAAGCACTTTCAAGAATAGTCTAGCGTGCTGTCCTACCGGCAGCTCTTTTTTATTTTATATTGTAACAAGTCATAATTGTTTTTTTTTTCAAGACTGTTCTCTTTGATTTTATTCTATATAGTAGCTAGTCATATTTGTTTTCAAGTTCTCTTTGATATAATTTTTTTACACTATTTTGATTGTCTTTTGTTCATAAAACATCCCAACATGTATGTCCTCCTTGTATTGAATGGCAACTATATAAAATGTGCCTCTCTCTGCCAAAAGTATATTAAATTGTAGCACACAAGGTCAAAATCTGAATATCGATATTGCATCAAAAAGACATCGGTCCGCCTTTGTTTTGCAAATGATGTCGGCCCGATATCTAGCCCTGTTGCAAAACAAAGGCGGACCGATGTCAAAACAACAAAGATGCCGATGTCGATGTATATATGCTGGGTGGGTATTTACAACCAGCGTTGTTAACAAGGTTTTCTTATTTGAAAGACCCTGGTGTTAATAAGTTAGTCATTCATACCCAGAAGAGCAAGAACACCCAACTTGAATCGCAAATCTTCGGCTGTTTTAGCAAGTAGTAGAGTTCTGCTAGCTGTCCAATGAACAATGTTTTTCTACACATGCTACTTCTATTAGTAATATATATTTAATAGACTACAATTTCTAATGATTTATAATGTCGATATACACGCCGATGTGATATGTCTTGTATAATGTTTACAGGTCGGCATCTTAACACATCTGAAATTAAATTTCAACTGGTCTTAAAATGCAATCATTGATAATGACTTTTAACACTAATAATCCCTAATTGATTCCAGCACTTCAAGTGTTGAAAATTGAGTACCGCTCGCCGAAGCTTGGGGCGTGAGGGATGTTGCACATGTACAGACTCAATCAAACCGAGTCTGCAATTTTCATATAATTTGTTGTGATTATAGCTCTTTCAGCTACTTTTCTGCAAATTGTGCATTAATTTCAACGGCACCAAACTATCAGAAACAGAATACAGGACTTTACTGAACTAGATACCTTTAAGGGTGGATCACCGTTAATTTCTCTATTTCTTAAGGCCAGTTTGAAAACAAATTATATACTTACAGACTTAATTTTATGAAATAATTGTACTTTTTGATCATTACAAAGAAAATACAAACACGTTAAGTGTGAACGCTTAAAAAATTGCCATTTTTTCACCAAAAGTATTGTGACTTGGTTCATATACACTTTGATTTACAAATACGATTGGGTCTAGTTATGATGCAATCAATATGTCTGCGACGAGTTCACTCATGAGCAAAGGAGACGGGATTTTGGATTAAAGGTCAACCATTTTGCAACGACAGTCCCTCATATAGTTTGAGTAAAATAAAAGCTGAACGTTATCTTGTAAAATGAATTCAATCACACAATGTCTAAATTATGCGAATGACATATCAATGTCATTAATAGAAGTTGCAATTAAAAGCCGGTGGAAATTTCAAAATTTCTACCAAGGTCAAGGTCACACTAAGAGGTCAAAGCTATATTTTCCTTGTCCAGAAAAAAAATCTCCGAAAGTATTAGAGATTCGTGTGAAACTTAAAATATATATAGATAACAGCGAGAGGGAGTGCATTGTAAGTTTCACACGAATCTCTAATACTTTCGGAGATTTTTCTGGACAAGGAAAATATAGCTTTGACCTCTTAGTGTGACCTTGACCTTGGTAGAGGCTAAAGTGTCGAAAGAAATATACTCCCCATTAAATCATGTTGACTGTAACTATTGTATCGCAAGCGCGTTGTCTTAAATAGTGAGCATTTGTGCCAAGTTATTTCAACTACCTTGATGGACTAAACAGTTATTAACCCGACACGAATTGTACCCTCCTTTAGACAATGTTGACCTTTAATCCACAAGTGGGACCACCGTGGAGTTCTGGTTGTTTCGCATTTACGGGTCGTCTTTATTAGGTGAACATATGTTATTTCAAAATCCATGGATGAATGAGTTACGGGCCGGACAGACAGTCGGAGCCTTTTTATATATCCCTCTTTTACTTCGAAAAGGCGGGGGACAAAAATGTAAACAAATGTGTTTAATCACCAAGGGGCTTTTGGGCATAAATTGTGGTCGTTAATTTATGATACTGACTAAGATGACTTCAATTCAATCAATTATTTTAAATACTACAGCAAATCATTTCCTACACGACAGATAGTTTGTCCCCAGATTACACACATAATTGTAATATTAACATAATACCACCAGCTACTTGTTTTACATGAATTAAACTTTTGCGACATTTAACGGTAGTGTTGCGACATTTTACGGTATGGGAAAATCGTGCGACATTTAACATTACCATTGCGACAGCAGACGACATATAACGGCGTTGCGACATATAACGTCGCCACAGACATAGGTGAGGATATTTCTAGTATAAAAAAGAATTTTCTATGTTTGCAGCTTTACTAGTGGACACATCCATAATCGCCCTTATGTGCAATAATACAGACAGAGGCAGTAATACGTGATTAGATTTACCTTGCAAGTCATAGGTATACCGAGTACAAACCCGATCATACAACAAACAAACGTGAACAATGCTTTCTTCCTTCGGAGAACCTGGGGAAATACATCTGTTATTCCGCTGATAACTGTTTCCATCATTACCATCTGTGAAATAAGTAAGTACATGTACACAGAAATGAAAGTCGATGTCTGCTTTTGATTTAACAAAAGCCACCGCTGGGCGGAGGCAACGCTCGGCTTTATTACTTTTTCTAAAAGCAAACAATTAAATGGTTTAAAAGATCCTGTAACACAATTTTTTATGGTTTTATTTCATACATATGATGCTCAAAGTAAGATTTGTCAATATTGTAAGTTCCAATAAGCATTATTTGTAAAGATATTACCGAATTTACCATTTCATGTAAATAAAGGGAGGTAATTAGAAATTTATTTTCTATAAATTCAAAGTCAAATTTTCCAATAAGAAATGAATGCATATAATTTATTGATTACTTATAATGTGCACAAATATTTGCAGTACATATTTTACATATTCTTCGATGTTTGAAACTTGTTTTATTTGCATAATACTATGCATATATTATTTCTTTAAGAGTGGTATAGTTCTTCAAGATCCACCAGATGAGGGAAGCAGTCCATGGTCCATGGCGGAGCTGAAAACTGGAAGGAGTGAACTTGTCTGTCCGTTTTGCTTGTCTGAGGCACCAACCAAAAACACCTGTCCGAAGCACCATTGCTTGTCCGTGTGTCAGTATGGCCTATGTCAGGAAAACCTTACCCGTCCGCTTCTTGATCCTTTATTTTAGGCAGCAACACATTCTTTAACTAAGCAACATAATGCACACAATGGTCTCATTGGCCTCCCGTGTATTATTCCATTTATAAAATCTTAAACATTTGCATTTTATTTGGGCTCATACAGTGAAAACCAATCAAATAGGTCACCACTTTAGATTATAACATACTTTAAGGGCATGACTGGTGACATGTCCGGGTCCGTACTCGACAGCGAGAGCTGCTTTTTGTGCCCTAGCGGGCGGATGGACCCTAATTAAACATTAACAATATACATACATATACACACAGAAACAATATCAATTACAAAACATACAGGATCTTTAAACAATTCTTTAAAAAGAAAATTAAAAATAAAAATAAGTTTTTCCTTTTTTAAATTCGAATAGGTAAGTCTAGTCATGCTTGTTGTTTTGTATGAATTATTTCAATAATGTCCCATGATCAATTATGGCTCTTATTTTATAGCTGTATATCAAAGGAAATGAAAGTAGGCCATTTCGACAAATCAAGGTCAGATGAAAAATTAAGCTTTACATCTAAAAATGTGCAGATTTCATAGCTGTACATCAAGGGACAAGAAAGTAAAGTCACTTCGTCCAATTATCTAGGTCAGCTGATATCAATGATCAATTTTATATCTAAAACTGTGCACATGGTTCGAATTCCGTAGCTGTACAACAAATGATAAGAAAGTATGTCACTTCGTCAGATAATCTAAGTCAGCTGATACAAAATTTCAATTTAACATTTAAAACTGGCCAACATTTCATAGTTATAGATCAAAGGACACTAAAGTAGGTCATTTTGTCAAAAACTAGGTCAGCTAATATCAAAGATTAATTATGAATCTAAAACTCTGGAAATGGTCCAAATTTTATTGCTGTTCATCAAAGGACAAGGAAGTAGGTCACTTCGCCTAATTATCTAGGTCAGCTGATATCAAAGTTAAATTTTACATCTAAAACAGTGTTCATGGCTGTAGATCTAGGAACAAGAAAATAGTCACTTTGACATGTTATCTAGGTCAGCTGATATCAAAGTTCAAAAGTAGGTCACTTCGTTAAAATCTAGATCAGCTGATATCAAAGTTAAAACTGTGCACATGGTCCAAATGTGTCCATATTTCTATAGAAAAAAAACAGAGAATTTCATTAATTTGACCTTGACGGTCAACGTCAATTGAAGATCAATTTCACATTTAAATCATTAATATGTGTGTTTGGTTGCAAGTTTTCCTTTGTCCAAATATAAATTAAATCCGTATATAGATTACAAAATTATGACAAGTTAACCATAATTCAATAATTTGACCTTTACGGTCAAGGTCATATAAAACTCAAGGTCACATCTAAATTATTCAAGTCTTGTTGTGCCTAAATATAAATCAAATCCGTACTTAGAAATCAAAATTGTGACAATTTAACCAAACTTCAATAGTTTGACATTGACGGTAAAGGTCTTTTAAAGGATTAAGTCAGTTCAACTTTTGAAAAGGTATTGTCCAAAAAGGTTGTTTTGTATGAAGATAATCCATTTGCTATAGGAAATAAAAACAAGAAAATTTCATTAATTTGACCTTTACGGTTAGTGTCAATTAAAGGTCAAGGTCACATCTAAATTATTCAATGTCCAAGTATAAATCAAACTTATGACAATTTAACCAAAATTCAATAATTTTACATTAACATTGAAAGCTTAAGGTCACATCTAAATTATTTAATGTTTGTCTGGTAAAAAGTCTTGTTTTGTCCACACTGCGGTATATTGTACCGTGGATATTGCTGGATATTATGAGGACATTCATCCCATTTCGCGACATTGAACGGGGAACAAAGATAAGTTCAGCGACGATATTTTCCAAACTAATGGCTATTTTGTTTATCTCAACGGGTTTTAAACATCTAGAGGTATTTTTGTGTCTCCAAAAGGCATCAAATGGTTACAGGTATTTGTAAAATTGATTAAACTACCACTAAACGATCGGCTGCTCATTAGATTAGAAAATATTGACTGCGATACTGTAGAATCGTTAGAAATGATTATTTTACCAAGATAAAAAAATTAAATCGAGCATTTTCTTTATTCATGATCCAAGTATGCTTAGTACAAATTTCAGACAAAAAGTACAAAAAGATACAGGCAAAAAATGATACAAGAAAGTGTACCGAGTATTGATTTTAAGTGCACCGAGTATTTCACATTAATTAGCTCAACTTAAATGTACAGAGTATTGCAAAACAGAATGAGTAATTTAGAATGGAAAATCGAAATTTTTGTCTAATTTTTACGTTCGTCTCCTTTTTAATCTTCTGATAATGAAGTTTATGATATTTATTCAAATATTTCAGATTCAACAATGCAGTTTCAGTGTTATTACTGTTCTTTTTCTACGGACACAATGACATACAGATATTTAATTTCACATTTGGTTGTAAATCACACTATGAATGAAATAAAGTTTAAGCGTGCTACTGAGGATGGCGTTAAAGTGTGTGATAACACCTGAACTTTGTCGGGAGCAGGGTAAAACTAACAACATTGACGATAAAAATCTTTAAATACATATCTCAAGAAACTGTGATCAGGGAGATCCATCTCTTAAATGAAAATAAAATATTTAGATGACATGAATTATAGGTTTTTACAGGGGAGTGTGCCTTAAGAAAGATATCGGCACATTTAGTAAAACTTTGGCCCGAGGCCAAATGTGCCGGTATCGGCTTAAGAAACACTTTCATAAATTTTGTATTGCATTGCCCTGTATCATTAATGTTATTAAAATCCATTATTCGGTTTGAGACTGTAATACCCGCTCGACAGATGGATGGATGGATGGATGGATGGATGGATGGATAGATAGATAGATACTTTTTATTCCTCCAATATTGAAGGTTGATATCAGATATTGGCATACTTGTTCAATACGATAGCAACGAGAACTTTGTAATCACATAAAATTGCTGACTTTGTTCGACTGGATTTTTTCATAAGCAGGAATGAAAATTTAATGGCTGTGGATTATTCGCAAATGTTTCCAGTAAAGTTCCTCCGAACTCTGCATATACTGCACATATAGTGTCAATAAGTATACACAATAAGAAATATTTATGATTGAATGTGGTAAATACTCTGTGATTACTCCTCGCGTTTACTCGACATGAATAACCAATATTCGTTACACTAAAAAAAGCAATACTCGTGACACCGACGAGCAACTCCAAAGCAATACTCGGTACTACGGAATACCGTGAGGGCCATCGTGGTTATACGTTAAAATACAGAGGGCGACAATGCGATAGTGCGACAGTGCGATGACGACAAAACGACAGTGCGATGACGACAGTGCGATGGCGACAATGCGATAACGCGATAGTACGATGACGACAGAGCGATAGTGTTATCGCACTGTCGCCATCGTATTGTCGTCATCGTACTGTCGCATTGTCGTACTGTCGTCATCGCATTATCGCATTGTCGCCATCGCATTGTCGCACTATCGTCATCGCGTTATCGCATTGTCGACTATCGCCTTCTGGTGCACGGTTCTAAACTGCTGGCGAATAAGCTGACGGTATAGAATATGGGATAATTTTACTTTTGTCAATAAATTTTTATCTTTTTGTTTTTTCTTTTCCTTTTTATTAATTTTTTTGTTTCTTTCTTTTCTGTATACTAATAATGTTTAAATGAAATTATAAATTAATAATAAGAATCATTTTATATATAAATACTGAAAGAGTTATACATAGACGGAAAATGTAATAAATTGTGTGAAACTTTAATATACAATGTAATAGAAATATTTCAGATGAAAATGATCTTATGTTGACATTTAAAAGATGCAAAAAAATTAAAATCATTGTTTATTACTTGTATAAAAAAGACAAACAAATTATATTGATAATTCGTCATCAGTGGTTTTATTGTTTTGTAAGATGTATAATTTATTATATTACTAACATTGTAAATAAAGATACATGTAATTAGAAATTTACGTCAACACATATTTTTTTCTATATATCTAACATAAGTGGTCAACAATTATCACTTTAAGATTAACTTAACAGCAGATCCTACTATACGTTTAACTTGTCAGCATATTGTACTATAGCCAACTGATTCCGCTGGTGGACATAGTGAGACAATGTGTTTCAATGTTGAAAAACACATCTATCCATTATATTTAATCCGGAAAAAATCTTACTGTTTATTTTTGTTGTTTTGTTGTTTTTTTAAGGGAAACATGCAAAATTCGAATTACCAACTACCTGCCGGTAGGTAGTGGAGGATTAAGAATAACCAACTACCAGCTAGTAGGTAGTAGGTTATTCGAATATCCAACTACCAACTACCTATCAAATTGACGCTTCTTTAGATTTTTATCAATATCTAAGATCGAGCAATTTTTGGTGCTTGGTGAACATATGGCTTTTATGTTTCTTAAAGATAGTAAATAAAAATGATTAAATAAAAAAAGAAATATAAAAGATATACTAGATTTATGCGATAACGCGATAGTACGATGACGACAGAGCGATAGTGTTATCGCACTGTCGCCATCGCACTCTCGACATCGCATTGTCGTACTGTCGCCATCGCACTGTCGCACTGTCGTCATTGCGTTATCGCACTGTCGACTATCGCCTTCTGGTGGACGTGCGACAGTGCGATGACGACAATGCGACAGTGCGATGACGACAATGCGATGACGACAATGCGACAGTGCGATGGCGACTGTGCGATAATGCGATGACGACAGTACGACAGTGCGATGACGACAATGCGACAGTGCGATGGCGACAGTGCGATAACACTATCGCTCTGTCGTCATCGTACTATCGCGTTATCGCATTGTCGCCATCGCACTGTCGCATTCTCGTCATCGCACTGTCGCATTGTCGTCATCGCACTGTCGTATTGTCGTCATCGCACTGTCGCACTCTCGCATTGTCGCCCGCTGTATTTTAACGTATAACCACGATGGCCCTAACGGTATTCCGTAGTATTCCGTACGGTACACTGACATGTGTATTAACTCTAAAAAATGCATTGTCATCTGAGATTCTATTGTTCATTGAACATTTACAACATATACATTATCATCGTTATCACATTTCATTCAATTCAAGTTTTTATCTTAAGTATATGCACAAAAAATCCAATTTGACTGACCCGAGCTAATTTATAATGTGAGCAAAGAGACGAATTTTATCTCCTTATTACATTTCAAAGCTATTTCTCAACACTGATGAGATTTGGCACTGGTCCATGTATGAATGAAATCCATACATCAATAAAACAATTATGACAATTTAACCAAAATTCAATAATTTGATTTTGACGGTAAAGGTCATTTAAAGGTCAATGTCAAGGTCAGTTCAGCCATTTTAGAAGGTGTTGTCCTAAAGGTTGTTTTTTCCAAGTATGAAGATAATCAATTAAATTATTAATCAGTTCATACAAATATACTTTAGTTAGTGTTGGAAGCTATAAGCTTATTGCACACTCTCGAGTCCATTCCTTGAATCAAACAGAACTTAGCAATGAAGGTAAAGTTTCTTTCTCAAGGAAACAACGGCTTGCACTTGACAGGATTTGAACCAACGAGATCAGCAATCCTTAGATTACTAGTCCCACACGTTAACCACTCGTCCACGCCGCCATTTATTACTACCAAGTCAATTCTAGCAAAAACAGTGAAAATTCAAATATTTAACCTTCAAGGTCAATGCCATAAATAAGCCAAGGTCAATTTGAAAGGTCTTGTCCTAAAAACTACTGTGTCTTAATTCAAGTCAATCCATACATTAATAACAAAGTTATAGCCAGTTACAGCAACAAAAAAAAATCCAGTAATTTGACCTTCAAAGTCAAAGTCATTAATAAGTGAAGGTCAAGGTCTTTCTAGATTACTTGAAGGTATATACTAAAAGATTGTTGTGTTAAAGTTTGAAGACAATTCATATAGAAAAAAAAAGTTATAACCTCAAATAGCAAAATCAGACATTTAGCTTGAAGGTCACGGTCATTTATAAATGAAGGTTAAGTTTTGTCTGGCTTACTTGAGATCTTGTCCCAAGGGCTCTTGTGGCCAAGTAAAAGAACAATACACAAAGAACTAAAAAAATAATGATCAATGTCAAGTTTTGGCAAAGGCAACGCCGACATGACAGTAACAATACCTTTATAATAATAATAATAATAATAAACTCTTTATTAAACGAAGGTAACTTATTAAGACAATACATCAAAGCATTAGATACAACACATATAATGCAAAATCTTATTTTCAACAAGGCCTTCAATAAAACATAAACATAACAACGGACATATTCAAGCAATTGTAAAGATTACAACATTCAGTAAATCTTAATCCTCAAAGAAGACAGACATAATATTATATTATAGTATATGTAAATTTTCTATAATTCATCTAGATAATAATAAATGTTTGAAATGTGATTTAAACAATTTAGGACTTGAAAGATTTCTTATTTTTAAAGGAATAGTGTTCCATAACTCCATACTAGAATAATAAAATGTACGTTTCAAATAATTTGTTTTAGGTCGTTTATGCATAATATCTTTTTTATGTGTTGATCTTAGTTTTGAGATAACGGAATTAGATTAGAAATATATGCTGGCGTTAATACATTCATCGCTTTATATACCATAATTCCAGAAAAGTATTTACATCTAGATGGAAAAAGATAACCATTTCATATTTTGAAACATATCAAGAGAATTTGTTTTTACGGGTTTATTTAAAATAATTCTGGCGGTTCTTTTTTGTAATTTTGTTATTCTATTTAGATCTGATTTGTTACATTGGGACCAAATAATACATTCATAATCAAAAGTAGGGGCAATGTAAGCGTAATAAAATAATTGTTTCATTTCAGGTGTAAGAAAAATTTGAATTCTTTTCAGCAGAGATATTTTAGAAACAAGGTTAATTAGAACATGTTTTGTCAATATGTGTTTTCCAAGATAGACAGTTATCAATATGCAATCCAAGTAGCTTTTGACAATTTTATACCCGAATTCTCAATATGCAGAGACAGATTGCCTATGTTATTTATTTTACATTTTGATCCAATTATCATGCACGTGGTCTTTTCTGGATTTATGGCCATATTATTGAGAGTGCACCATTCCTGTATTTTTAGTAAGTCTAGTTGCAAAATAAGAAAGTCGAGCTAAAAATAGCGAATACTGTATAAAACAGTCTGACTTTGCCGATAGTTTCATATGCTGAATGCCCTTTTAAAAGATGATCAAATAAACCTTCATTTTAAAACTTTATCTAAATATAAATATGTACCTGACTGTCCAGTCCAAGTATAAGAATCATGAAAAAGAAGAGGAAGGCCCAAAGGGATGAAACCGGAAGTCTCGCGATTCCTTCTGGATATGCGACAAAAGCGAGACCGGGACCTATAACACAAAATTATTATCTTTTATGCCAGTTTTTACTGTTTCAGTTTATACAGAATTTATTTTAGTTAAATTATGTTGGAAGTTTTAATGTATAAACGTATAGAAACACCCTCAAGTCAGTTCCTGGAATCATTTTCTGTTTTCCTTTGAAAAATGACATGAAATAAGAAATAGTAGAATTTTTTAATTCTAAATAAATTAATCGCAAAATAATCGAGTTTTGTTTATTCACGAAGCAAAACAAAACAAAGGAATCAATTAATGAGGTATTCAAAATAAGAAGCTTCATTATACATACCACTGTCGGCGACATCTGCGACGGCTTGGTTAGTTTGGTGTGCCATGTACCCAAGCACTGAGAAGATGACAAACCCTCCGAGGACACTCGTGGCACAGTTGATAAACGAAACAATAACAGAGTCTCTGTAACATATAAAGTGAAAGTACGCTTGAATATTTGTCTTAAAACGATCTTTATTATATTTTTGTCACCAATTAATATATTGTTCTGAGGACTTCAAACATTGTCTAATCTGAACAAGAACGTGCTTTTTAACAGAAATGCCCCCGGCCCAGATTCTAGTCTGTAACAATTTTTCAACAAGAGCCACTGCTGGGCGGGGGGCAAAGCTTGACATTTTTTTACTTTTTCTAAATGCAAACAAATGAAAGGTTTAAGCAAATTTTAAAAAAAGAAAAAAGGTTATTCTCTTTTTAAACAAGAGGGCCATGCCTTCTATCGCTCACCTGATTATGAAGGCTCCATGTGATTGACCTAGAAATCATCAAAACAACCTTTGTGACCAGTTTCCATTATTTGGATCAAAACAGTAATCTCTAGAGTGTAAACAAGTTTTTTTTTCCATATTTAGGCTGTGTGACCTTCTTTTTGACCCTAAGAGACCCATATTCAAACCTGACCTAGAAATCCTTAAAACAAACTTCCTGACCAATGTCTAGGATATATGGACTTGAAAAAAAATCCCCTAGAGTGTTCACAAGGTTTTTCCATATTATATATAGGCTGTGTGACGTAGTAGATTACTTGGTATTAACTTTCAAGTTGATTTAGAAAAAAATATAAAATCATTCTGGAAACATGTAAATAATAATTATCACTTTCACAAAGTTTAAACCCCCAACGTTTCGAGGGGATAAACCCCTCTTTATCAAGGAGTTTCTGTTTATTTTCATGAATCACGTTTTAGCTTCTTGTCTTACACTATGTTTTGTATACAGGAAATGACGTCGTTGACGTCAACAATAAAAAAAGGCTGTGACTAAAAAAAGAATTGGAGCACCACACTAAATACCGTATTCCGGTATATACCGGACAAGGCGCTTGAATGATAAAATGCTAAAATCTTGTCTTTTTACCCAACGGAATGAACTTTAACAGGTCTAATTCATCTTTTCACACCGAATCAAGTACGATAATCAAGGAAAAATGTAAAAATCGGCGAAAAAAACGATATTTGTCTATTTTGTGATCATGATTTCTGCAAGCGTCTAGAGGTACTGCTCCAATCCTGTATTGAGCTAAATCCATAAAAAAATACGCAAACCATGATGATGACGTTTTCCGTCCAATAATAGCAGCATATAACCGTGAAAATGATGATAATAATAACAACAATAATAATAATAATAATGATAATAATAATAATAAAATAATAATAATAAAAAATAATAATAATAATAAAATAATAATGATAATTATTAATTATTTAATAATAATAATCATTATCAAATATTTTAGCAATGATAATATTAAATAATAGCAAACAATAATAATATTTAAAAAAAAAAATAATAATGACAATAATAATGACAATAATAATAATAGCAAAAATAATAATAATAAAGGTAATAATAGCAGCAGCAGCAGCAAGTAATAATAATAATAATAATAATAATAAGATTGCAACAGTGCAATATTACAACAATGCCTATGAATGCAATAATTACTGTCATGTACTAACAATCAAAACAACAATAACATTGGTCATCATCACAATCATCTCAATCATCTTTATAACAATAACAACAATACCAGCAAAAGTGATTATGACAGCAACAATAATGATGATAAAAATAAGTCTTACTAGACGCCGCTTACAAGCGGCGTCTAGTAGATATGCATTTTTCCATACAGCAATGGGGAAAATTTTAGACTTGATTTTGTGTTGTTTTTGTTTTGTTTTTTTTTTTGTTTTAACAAAATCACACTGTTCTCAAATTTTCTAATAAAAATAGCTTTTCTGATGTACAACATGTCACGGAGCTTTAAGGGATTTGAATAAACGTCTAACTGAAATGATAATGCCATGTTTGAATATCATATTCTTTTTATCATTATCTAGTCTTATCTATGCCGATGAGCCTGTCTATAGAACTTAACCACGACTGAGGCAGTGTCAATTACTTCATTAGCTCCGCCTCTGTTGAAGTTCGGCTCCGCCTTAAATTGTCGCCAAAATTTAAATGATGCTCCGTATGCTAGCATCTAGTCTTCGTTGACGGGGCAAAAGGGAACCAGGACAACTTTGATCAATATCACTTGTCGATATCATTAACTTACAAGTCACAAAGCCTCAACCACGCCCATTATCAGAGAGGCGGTTCATCCGCAACCGTAAACGCGTTACGCTACGGCCAATAAGGGGAGATCACTGCAGAACAGTTCGTCTTAAAAATCATTCGAACATTATGCAATTCTTACCAATATAAAACTAAATGGATATATTCTCGGCACATATTGTCTTGAATTTATTTTAAGTCGAAACTGTACTAACGGTCACCTCTTATCGGCGTTCACCTGACCTTAACGGCCATTTTGTGACGCTCCCAACGAAAATTACTCTATTTTATACATCTGTTCAACGGTCACCTGCTGTCCGCTAAAATGCTTCCCGAATCTTAAACTTGGTCATCTTAAGCGGTCAGCGAGGTGAAACGGCCAGACAATCTCCTGTCATTTATTTTTAAAGATGACACGTGTCACGGATGAACAAAAGCTACTTGTCAGGCGCTAGATATTAACAATCAAAGCACTGAATGTACTGACGGGGAGGCTATGACAGAATGTTTCAGACTTATTGTTTCTTTTCTTTTTGCTTAAAATGTGCTGTAATTTCAATTATTACCAAAATAAGAAGATATGTACATTGCGCCATTTATTCTTACTGTTGTGTTCAACCATTCATATATATGGTTAATATGGTTGACTATTCATTTTGTTAATATTCCAGAACATTTCATTGAGGTCTACATTCGGACTGTGAATCATGCAAATTTTGAAAAACCTAAACTGTCAATAATAAATGACATACCAGCAAGTATGACGAATGTTCATTATAAGATAACAATAACATTTTACAACTGACGGTTCCTTTTCAAAATATTCTTGGACTTTTCATCATAAATACTTTATGTCATTTTAATATCATTGAATGATATTAACAACTGCAAGTTATGCAACATTTTTATTGAACATAAAAAATTATACATATTTACATGTACCATAATTGAGATCAATAAGATACTGTCTTGTGATGAGTATTAATATTCATGCTCTACGGACAGAAAGTTGTCTTCTCCCGAAGCAAATCTCGAATAAAATCACGTTTCAGAAAATTATTCCCATTTCATTACTCGTCGCTGACTTTGACGGCTTCGGATAATATTAAAGCTAAATATTACTTGAAAAAATACATATCTGCAAAGCTTATTCAAAATTGAATCAACCTAAGTGAAAATTGATCAGGAAGTTATATCTTCTTTTTTTACCGCCAACACTCAACCAACTTATGGTAGTTAATCAATAGATTCTACATGTATTTTTAAACCTCACAAGCTTGAAATATATACTGCGGAAAATCTGTTGTTATTATCTCTGTCGACCATTTCCCGCAAATAGATAAGAACATCGAAGCGTCAGTGCTATGAATGGTGTTATAAATAGCGTATTTTGGAAGTTTTTGTTGAAACTTCTCCAAATCCCTCCAGAGGCGTGCACGTCGCGGAGAAGGCACACGACAGGTCAAGGTCAAGTCATCTCAAGTACCAGAGGTGATTGGTTGACCTGTCGTGACTTACTCTGGAGGTTTGGCGCTAATGAAGGCCGTTTTTGTTGTCGGGAAGTTGATGCCTGGACAGTATTGTCGTCTCCTTTACCACCAACGAACGAAGAATGGGTTACCAGGAAGATTCTGCTTTAAAAAGACGTCCCCGATGTGACTACCGTAGTGGACCGGCAAGGATGCTATAATCTCGGACATATGGTTATTCCGGCGCCGAGTATAAATAAACTTAAAACACACACACTTTTGTTGAAAGCAAAACAAAAAAACAACAACACATTTTCTGTAGTAATTTTTCAAGTGTTGTAAAATGAATACGAAATTCCTCTTATGCCGCCGATTATTTTTAGAACACAAACATATAAGTTCGTTTTATTTGATTTATTCAAATAAACATTAATCACTTCAGCGCGCGCAAATATCGTTTTCAAATTAAAGTTTCGTAAAATATGTTGATGAATTCCCGGTGCTCGACTGTAAGTCATTCGTATATATATGCGTTTTACTTTTTTTTTTTAAAGCTTCTTATTCTTTAATATTTTTTATGTATCTCATAATCTGTATTGAAAATTTGAATTTTATTACACATAGACTATCAAATTATGATTCGTTGCCCTAGAATTGAATAAACTTTCTAATTACACAATACGGGGTCATTCATTTGATTGAAGACTGATCTTTGCGTCTTTCTCTGAAATAATTATTTCCTTGTTAAAACATATTTGACCACATATTTCTGTCATTTAACTGTTCACTTTACTTCCGATATTTGTTGTACCGAAACACGTGTTTCTATTTGTGTTTTCTAATCAATTCAAATCTATAATAAGTTTAATGGGATCACCACCGGGTAAACGACTACTAGGTACTTTGGTCATGTTTTTTACCCCAAATATTTGAATGTTTCTATTCGGATTAAAATGAGCGTAGTTAACTAAACAACTGGTTGTATAAACCCCTGACCTGTCTTATTCTAATTATGAGATTATTGGATATATTAAGACTTTCACTACAAAATATTCCTAAACAAAGGAGCACATGTTTAAATTTATTCTTCTTCAAATAAATGATCAGAGTAGGGATCTATCAATTGCCAGACATATTTTTTAAAAATACTTTTATGTTGAAAGTTTGATTGATGAATTATGTAAGATGAAAATTTAAGTATTGCTTTTTTATTTTGCTAATGTAAAATGTAATCTTGTGCGGAGGGTCCTTACGGGTTTTGTAGTTAAATAGTTTTTTTTTCGGCGATAATGGTTCAAGAATATAATGTTTTCAAACTATATGTTCATCCCCATCAGTGAATTCTTAGTTAAATGTATGCAAAATATTCACTAA